TGAGCAGCAAGCTGGGAAAAGCCTGGGATGGTGCAGGCAGACCTCCCTAATCAGAGCATCCTGCAAGGTCCTGGCCATGCCCCCCCTCAGCTTAGCCTAGTGCAAGGGGAGGGAGGGCTGCTCTAGTGCCTCACCCCATCCCCAGCTTCTAGCCTGAGCCACTGCAGGCATTTGCCTGCATTTTTTAGCCCAGAGGGGATGTCTGTATGATTGCAAACCAATTCAGTCTAGCTAGGTTAGACTAACCTGCAAAAATTGAATCAATTTAGGCTCAGGCTTTTTGAATGTCTATCCCTAGCCACATTCAGTGACTGTTTCAGTGTGTTTAATTTTTGTGCATTTTTTTATTGAAAATGGTTTGAAAGTTTCCAATTGAAATGTGAACTATTTTTTTTTTAAATTAAACTATTTTATTTATTTGACTTTAAAAAAGAGATGAGTGGCAAAGAGAAACGTAAAGAATTTTTATGGAAATTTTATTGAAGAGTGCAGGAGAGAAGCAGTAAAAGGCAGATGTAAATTCTGCAATTGTGAATACGTAACTCACATAGACAGAATGATAAAACACCTCTTAAAGTCTTGTGAAATGTACTCGGCTGTAGTAAAAGAAAGATTTCTTAATAAAAACGATTCCAAGAAGAAACTGCTTTCTTCTACTCGTACATTGGATGCATCCTCTGATTGTGCTTTAGCATAGAAGATTCCTCTGATGAAGATGGTATGGTGACAGGAATGGAAGAAAATACTGAAACTCAGGCTGGTGACCTTCCACTTGTTTCACTCAAGTTCTGTAAGCAATTTTGACTTCAAAGCTTCATTTCAGCAGGCCTTCTTTTTTAAGCCTTCTTTGGCCAGTTCTTGGGAATCAACTTCTGTGAAATCTGAAGTTTTATGGGAAAGTGACCAAGCAGATCAAAAACACAATAAAATATTTTAGGATCTTTGGACAAGATTAATGCACAAAATAATGTGAGCTTGATCATGTATATACAGCGTTAGCAAATATAAGCAATTTGACTTTTCACATGGTAGAAAATCCCTACATGAAAGAATTTTTTGCCAAGCTGCATCCACTCTACACATTACCAGGCAGAAAACAGCTAGCTGGACATCTGGTTGAAGCTTTTGGTGAACTGCAGAGAAGAGTATCTCCAGAAGCATTACCTACCGCAGCTACCAAAATGAACAGCTTGTTCATGAAGCTGACAGGAGAACTCTGAAATACTTCTGACCATGCTGCTATGTAAAAGAGTCCAGAATTGAACTTTTTACCAAGCCATAGAAGGCAGAAGAGCATAATCCTTCCTCTCTTTAACCCAATGGTTTTCAGCCAGGGTATTGTGGCATGGGTGCCTTGACTACAACCAAGTGAAAATGCTCCATGCACTGGATGCACAGCCAGACTGGGAAGGGCTATGCCGTGCACATGCTTGTGCTGTTTAGGGTTCTGTGATAGGCTTAAAGCAGACAGGAATGCTGGCTTGTGCTTGTTCCTCGTCCAGGCCCCTCATGCCATTCAGGACACAGGCATGTGGGACAGTTCCACCTGGCCTGCATGCCTCTGTTTCTTGGACTGACAGTGCACTGCAGGGTCAGACCAGGAGGGACTGCAGTACAGTCTGGCTCTCCTGCACATATTCCACAGCCCTTCCCCTTCTGCCTGCCCATGAGGCACACAGGGCAATTTTATGTCTTATGCTGCAATCCTGCTCAAGTGTGCAAAATGGCACATTTCCTAAACAAAGGTAGAAAAAATTTGTTACTGCAAACTTTACCTTTGTATTCTTCTGAGTGGATGTTCTGTCCTGTTGAACTGCCCATTTGTAACAGAGCGAATAGGAAGGCTCAAGTAGATGTATTAACTGTAAAATGAAACACATTTTCTATATTCTTTTATACCTAATGTCTAACTTTAAATGTAGCCTGTAGAGGAGACACTGGCAAGTTGACCTTTAGTTTAAAAAACTTAGAAATGATTTATATTCTTATTCTCCAATGTTACTGGAGTGGTCATAAGCTAATGTGGTGGCTTGTCTTTTTAAAAACCGCAGAAGGCCAAACAACTGGTAAATGAAGCAGCACTTTGACAGTAATTTTTAATAGATGAGGTGCAGTCCTTTTTACTATATGTGAATAAAAATGACTTTCTTTGGAAAATAAGCTGAGCAAGAATTCTTAAAGCCTTATTAACAGTCATGGCACAGTGACTTTATTACATTATTATTAGAACCAAAGATGTCTCTCTTTGGTTTGCATCTCTTTTCAGTTAATTTCTTATAAATGAGATAGGATACAAAAACTATTTAAAGGGAATGGTTGTTCCTTGTAAACCCTGCTGATTTAAAGGGATAAACAGAAACAAGCCAAACTTTGGATGAATGACTAAATAAACATCTTTGAAACTCAGAGCGCATATCTACATGAGACACTTTACTGCACAGTAAGCATTTGTGTCTACACATGTAGACTCTTACTGAGCAGTAATTTGCTCTAATTATAAGTAAACTTACAATCTGCAAGTATAAGTAGCAAAGTTACTCACAATTTGTTACTGCACAGTAATGCATGTGTAGACTCTGATTGGGAGCAAATTAGCTCTGGGTCAGCCCCACCACCAGGGGCCACTTTCAGCCCAGGGCTGAGTGGCTCTTTGGGGAGTGGGGAAAGTAGGGACAGGCTCTGTTGTTGGGGAGGGAGGACAGATGGGTTCTGTTGTGGAGGAGGGAGCAGGGAGGGGAGTCTGTGTCTGTGAAGGGGAATAAACTGCTTTTTGGAGAACTGTCTGCAGTGAGCATGGTGCTGGAGGTGTACAATGGGGCAGGGGTCTGTGGGTGGCTGTCCAGGTGGGCTACAGTGGGGAGCGCAGGAGGAAGTGGTCAGTCAGTGTCTCCCGCACCCGGCCCCTATTGGCAGGTGTACCACTTGCCTGGGGCCTAGCTGGAGTTGGGGCCCACTGCTGCTGCCACAGCTGGTGCTCCTGGTGCCAGGTATCCTCCATCCACTGTGCCTCCTCTGCCGAGGCTTTGTGGAACAGCTCACCCTGGGCCTCACAGATGTTACACAGCATGGAGGCTGTGACAGTGACAGGGGGATGTTGTCCTGGGTGATCTTGAGGCGGGCAATGAGGGTGCACCAGCATCCCTTGAGGTGGCCAAAGATGCACCCCGCCACGGTGTGGGCTGGCATTGGTTGAAATTTGCCTGGTTGGGGTCCAGCTGGCCAGTGTAGGCCACATGAGCCAGGTGAGAAGTGGGTAGGAAGGGCCCCTGATGAGGAGGGTAGGACCACCACTGCACCCAGCTGGAGGTCTGGTACCACTGGCGCAAAGCGCCTGCTTTCCACCAAGGGTGGCAGGGCAGAGTTGTGGAATACATGGCCATTGTGGGCACTGCTTGCCCAGCCAGCGCACATGTTGGTGAAGGCAGAGTGGGAGTCTGACCAGCTGTACTAGGGGTGGTTGCTATGTGGTGGGCAGGTGATGAGGATGTGGGTCCTGGCCAGGGCCCCAGTGCACTGGGGGAAGCACAGGGCGCAGAACCCCACCACCACTGCCAGGAGGTCATGTATGTGGAGAACAGTGTACCCTAGCGCATCCTGGAGGGTGCCGCAGACCTCCAGGATGGCCTCTGCAGCAGTTGCTTTGCCCGCACTGAAGAGGCGGCCAATGTAGTGGATGCCAGCAGGTGTGGTCAGCTTGAGCAGGATGATGGCCAGCCTGGTGTCTGCAGGGAGGGGCCACTGCGTGGTGCTGGCCTGCTTCTCCAGGTGCAGGCAGATCTGCTCCAGGAGCTCCTGGAAAGTGGCCCAGGTCATGCAAAAGGACTTGAGGCACTGCTTGTCATCCCAGGTGGTATAGACAACGTGCAGCCACTAGTCCTGGCTAGCTGGGCAAGCCCAGAGGTGGGGCTGGAGGCCCAGGAGGGCATGGATGGCCCCAGTGGTAGCATCCATGTGTGCATTGTTGGCATCCTTTCTGGGTTCCAGGAGGCAGCATGGGGTCTAGGTGGCTGCACTATGGTGGTAGGGAGCCTGGAATACCACAGGGAGCCAGGCTAGGCAGTCACACAAGCCAAGACTGCCCTGGGACAGGTGGTGGTCCCTGCAGCAGGCTAGCAGGGCCAGCACAGTGGCCAGCAGGAGCCTGGGGAAGTGGATGTTGCTGCCGGGTCCTGGGGCTGGAACAGCCATGGTGCAGCAGGCAGAGGCTGTGGTGACAGAGTCACGGTGTGCTGCCACCGTGCTCTGCACACTGCTCCAGTCCAGTGAGGCAAGTGGCCAGGGAGCAGTGTGCAGGGCTGCCTTTTAAACATTGCTACCACCCGCCCTTGGAGTGGCAGGGGGGTGGTACAGGGCCAGTGGGAGCAGAAGCAAACTGCTGCCATGAGCAGCAAATCTGTTCCCATTTCCCTGCACGTGTAGATACCTGCCTGGGGTGGGTTTACTCCAGAGTAAGAACACCCACCAAGGAGCAAATGCATGTGTAGATGTGCCCAGAGTGCTTTGGTTCTCAACCCTTTTAGTCTCAAAACACTCCTCGGAAAAGCCAACTCTTAGTTTTCACTTTTTTTTTTTGTCTACAGAAAAATGATAGAGTAATTCATCTGTTGCAAAGAATTCAAAGACCACATCAGGTCAGGATGCTTTTGAGACTCTGAATTGTTATTAGAAATTCTAAGTTTATATTGTGAATCATGTTTGCAAACATTGCTAATATTTGGCACTCTTGAAAGGATCTCAAGGCATGCCAGGGTGCTGTGGCATCCTGGTTGCGTTTTACTGCTCTCAAATAAAGAAACCCTACATTCATAATCACATGCTTAGCATTGCACATGTGGAGATTGAATTTTCAGAACTGATTGTTAGCAATTGGGCCACCTCAGACTTGTTATATTTTTGTTTGATACAATATTCTAGTGACTGTTTTTGAATATTTAACTTTGAATGGTAATTCTATCACTGATTGTGTAACAAAACAAACTACTTGTTACTTCCTTACCTAGGTACTGGCTATTCTGGTCAGTATTTTTGGAGGCATTATATGATGTGATATTATTGCATCAAGGTATCATTATGGCAGTAAAGAACTTGGACCTAAAATTCCTATTGTAATACGATTGTAAGGTAAGTACTCTTTTATGTACTGCATAAATATATTTAGGTTGTTTTATAGCAGCAAAAATGTAAAGCAGTTAAGCTGTTTTGTTGCTCTTCTAAACAGAAGAGGTGTGTTGTTGTTTTTTTTAAACAGAGAAAAAACTTCTTAAGACCGCATAAATATTAATGACTTGCCAATTAGGAATTTTCTATTTTTGTACCTATTTTTAGTTAAGATTTTTTTTTTTTAGAACTGATAAAATTGGTGCTGCTGCTACAGAGGCCTCCTGTTATGGAGTGTAATTAAGTCAAAATAGGTGTTTTGGGAGAACTGTCTTGGAAAACTTGAACATCATCACTTCATACTGTAGCTGACTTTACTAGGGAGTGTTAATACATTGTTTAGTAATACTGAAATTTGTTATGCTAAAACAACTTGTTTTTTAAGGTACATGAGTTGATAGCAAAGCTTTGATAACAACTAGTGATCTTAAAATCTTTGCCTGTGATGACTTGGATGAAGCTGCTAAAATGGTGAGGAAAAGAGTTTCATATATAACATTTGTAATAGATGCTATACTTTAATATCAAATTCCTCAGTTAATGAAAGAGAGTAGATGGGGATAAAACATTTTTAATCCTTGAGCTTGCATAATGCTATCTATCAAAAGCACACAAAGCAGTGTGTGAGCAATGGATAAGGCAGCCAATGACCTTGTAGACAGAAGGTAGTATACCTGGAACTTGAGCACTTAAGGAACTTGCTTTATTGGTAGAAGAGAAACTTGAGCAGATTGTTGTGCCTTTTTTTGTGCATGGAGGGTGGGGAGAGGTAATAGGAAAGAGACCTTAACTTTGAAGATGAGTGGATGGGCTATCTAATAAAGGTATCATTTGAAAGGCCCATGCTAAGTGGAACACTTCAAAGAAAGTGTAGTACTTTGTCAAAACTACTTTTAATTCTAAACCAAAGTTAATAGTCCCTAACTGGTCTGTCTGTATTATAAACTGTACATGGCACTATGTCCAGGGGTTGAACTCTCCAGAAATATTGCAGCAGTCACTGAATGGAAGCATCTGGTTACTTTAATCCCCATGGCTTTTAAGTTTGTTTGTTTGTTTTAGGACATTTTATAAGTCCTGTTAAGAAGGTGAAGTTCTTCTGCTAGACTGCTTCTGTTTCTGTAGCAGGTTATGCATACATAGGATCCTGTCTTCTTAAAGGTGGCTCAGGGCACCACTTTTTGAGGTCAACTAAGCACTCTCTTTTTAAATACTTACTGTAATTTGTTCATGTTTTAATTGTCTCT